AAAATATTAAAAAAACCAAGAAGTTTCATTCAAACAGCTGAACTTGTGCACTGACACCTTACAGAAATTTACGTAAAAATTTCAAACACCCAAGAAGTCACATGGGATAAAAATGTGTCAGCCTGGACTTCTCTTACCACACATTTGAATCTCCCCCTGGGAACTTCTGTCATCTGTCAAAACAAACCTGATCATGTTTAGAGGTTTATTGTTCATAGAAGCTTCATAGAAGCTGTAATTTTTTGGGGGCTCATGAGTCTTCCTGAAAGTGTAGAAAAGCTTGTTTTTACAAGAGTTTAAGTCTCTTTGCTGGTTGCATGTGTTCCTGCTTCTGTCATGTACCCCAGAATTGTCACAACTGCTCATTTCTACCCAGCCTACGTCCCATAGACTTCTGCAGAAAGTAGATTCTGATAATTTTCATTGTGTTATAGACTTGTAGGGGAACCAGTCCTCAGCATGTGCTCAGATATATGCACTACAGTAATGGCTAATACATAGAAACAAATCCCTTCATGATTAGCAAATGAAACTGCAAAATCTAACTGCAAAATAAATAGGCCTTTCCTGGTCAGTGTTACATCATTGATAGTTGCTAGTTAGCAAGAAATAAGGATGCATAAAACCCTTGTTGCACAGTTCAAAAGGGATTAAACACATAGAAAGGTTAACAGAATCTTTCCATGGAAAATTTAATTGTGTTAATTGATGAAGCTATCTCCAAACCAAAAACACGCAGGCTTTCTCAAGTTCAGGAAAGTTAAAAATGAATAACTATGATGGAAAATAGAAGCAATTTTTTTAAAAAGTAAGTCTGAAACAGGAGAAAAGCTACAAAATAATGTTCAGAAGGAACAAATAATTTCTTATGGTCTATAAAGCAAATTTCCTGACTGAAACCTCTATAGCTGTCAGTTGCTAAGTAAAATTTCTTTAGTATATGGGCAACTGCAGCAAGTTTTTGCTTTGGATACACAAAATCTTACCAAGATTTAGTACTTGTACCTGTGAACTTTAATGATGGTTTCAAGAGAGAAACCCGTGGTAGTGAAGACCAAAAGAACATTAATTTAGTACTGTGTCTTTTTAAACAGCATTTAAACATTGTGGAAAAGTATAAAATTGGCATTTTCAGTTCCATCAGAAAAAAAGACTTCATCTTTATGACAAAGATTCTTGAATTTGCCTCTCCTTTAAATTTGTTAAACTTGGAAATTTGGCCTCTTTATTCTTCATAAGCACCAGAACTCCTATACAGAGACATGCTTGTATGCATACTCAGAAATTCTGGAACATACGATCATAGACAAAGGAGACAGCAGAAATCTGCTTTTTGAAAGAAATTATAGCACAGACAATTGTGCACAGAAAACATGCTACGGGTGTCCTGAAGAAGTCCTGAAACAGCAAGGGTAATATAATTGATTTGGTAGAAATGTCTGGTTAATTTTTCACAAGGCGTAGAGTCCTCAAAAATCAATAACTTTCTGCTGTATCTTTATTCTTCTGAATAAACTGTGTCTGTCTAAGAAACTTGATTCCTATGCGCAGTTAGGTTCATAAAACATTCACAGACATACACAGCAGAAAAGAAACACAAGCTTTCCCAAGCAGCAGTGAGCATTTAACCCCAAGGTAGGACAAAGTGAATTATTCTTCTTTGGTAGAGTATCGTCCTTGCATGTATGTGATTTCTCTTTTTCTCTTCAATGCAATAATTTTCTTTGTTTTGTTGGCAATATATAGGCACTACCCAGAAATCCTTTTAAAATTTCCATTTTCCCTATGAATATTGCATTTAGTCTATCATATTTTAAATTTTTAAAGCATTCAAAAGTAAGATGACTACTCTTACAAATGATACAAGCATGGATGCACACAGCGTTTCTGCTACAGTAGGATAGCAAATACTCTTTGAAGAAAGGATAACACAGACAGAAGAATAACAAAGTACAGAAACTCTGAGAGAGCAATATAAAACCAAGGAATTTTACCTAGAAGAGACTGGAGAAAACTCCACCTTGAATAACACAGTGAAACCTAGCTGTGCTATGTTAGCAACGAAGTTAATCTTTCTGCATCTGATCTATTTAGGTCCATTGATTATAGAACATCTAGGGAAATAAATCTCTTGAAATAAGTGCCTGCCTGTATTTACCTGTCTGAAACTAAATGATGTAAGTATCTTTCTTCAAAAAACTACTGACCATGACTACACAACCATATTAGTCCTGACCTCAGTTACAATTTTCGAAGTGTTTTAAATTTGCTTGTGTATTATACAATTTACCCTGTGCTAGGCTGGTCTCCAGAAAGATTTTAGGTCATTCCAGATGAACATCCAGAATAATTGAGACATATTCTGAGCAGGAACCTCTTCAGCTCATGTGCAAGTCCATAGTCAAGAGTTGCATCCTGAGCAGGAACCTTCTTTAAACACATGAAAATCAGGCAACAGTCATTGCCATTCCTGTTCTTAGAGACAGTTAATTAAATGACTTTTGAACAGCTTTAGTAGGCTGATGCTGGCTTCCAGGGATGACCTGGAAGAAAAACCATTCTGAGGCGGGCCATGAGCAGCAACAGGCCCTTGAGCAGATCAAACAGGGAAAAGCTCGTGTGGGAGCTCTTGAGCCTGTTCAGACAGGACCGGCCGTGCAAAATATACTCTGCACTGCAGCTGGGGAGCAGGGCCCCACCTGGAGCCTCTGGCAGAGGACTGCAGGAGAAACCTAGGGTGGACCATTGGAATTTTGGAGCTGGGGTTATTGAGGATCAGAAGGGTAAGCTATTTATAGCTGGATGGGTCCATGAAACATCAGGACATCTGATATTGTGAGGCCTGGCAAATTGACTACATTGGACCACTCCCATGAACCTGCCAAGGTAAGTGTCCGTGAAAGGGGAAAATAATATCTATCTGTGAAAGGATTGGGGATGTACTTAATGAAAATGTATGTTTGGTATATAGATGGTTTAAGGATTTAATTTAAATTGTAGGTGTGGGTAAGAAGGGATTTCAGTAATGAGAAATAATGCAATGGATCAGTTGGAAGATATATAAATTATGTGGAATATGATTATGAGGCAAAATGGTATAGAATAAGGGTATAGATTGTATTGTGTCTGGCTGAACTGGAGCTCATTTTCCCATACAGCCTTCACTGTGCTATGTTTTGCATTGGTAGTTGGAAAGGTTTTGACAAAATGTGTTTTGGCTACAAATGAGCAGCGCTGGCACAGCATCAGGGCTGTCTCTCTAACATTCCCACCCCCATCAAGGTGCTGGGAATGGGCAAAATCTTGGGAGGGGTCAGAACCAGGCCAGCTGACCTAAATTAACCACAGGGATATTCCATACCAGGTGATGCCAGCTCAGATATAAAAGCTAAGGGAGAGAGGAGGAATAGGGGTGAGGGTTATTTTTAATTTTGCAATGTTTGCCTTCTGAAGCCACTGCTAGTGTGCTGGAGCCTTACTTCCTGGGAAGTGTGTGAATATTGCTCAGTGACGGAAAGTAAAAATTAATTTTTCCTCCTTTGCTTCTGTGCAGGCAAACTTTTACTTTTCTTTTTTTTTTTTCCACTTAAGTAAACTGTCTTATCTCAGCCTACTAGTTGTTTTCCATCTTATTTTCTTTCCTCTGTCCCAGTGGAGAGTGATACAGTGGCTTGGTTGGCACCTGCTGTCCAGCCAAGGTCAACCCACTACAACAGCACTCACCTCTCCTCCTCAATCTGCCTGTCCTTTCCCCCTCAGAGTCAGTCAATTACAGGCAATGAGTGAAAATGCTGGCAGGTGGGACAACTTCACTCAAACCCATTTTCTGTAAAAATTTTGACATCTTCCCTCTTCAAAATTTGTATTTTGTTTTGCAGAGATTCATGCATATGTGCCTACTTTTTGTTATAGAAAGACTATTTAGGTCTATAACCAATTTGTTGTGACAATAAGGAGGGAAGGAGAATTAGTTAATTAGAACTAAAATAACAACTACTCCTCCAGACATTGTGCAATGAAGTACATGACTGGGATGCCAGCCTGCAGTAGTGGATGTCACCTTGAGTACTGTTATTTAATTGTCATGTCTTCACAGGCACAAACACATCCTTACAGATAGATGCAAGGCATATTACAACATACATTGAAGTTTGGGTGTGGAGTCAAAGGTCTGTGCAGCTGCTACAAACTTGGAGAATGCAAAACAATTGTAAACTTCAGTGGATTATTTTTTCTCATAGAATCAATTAGGGTGCAAAAACCTGGATTCAGCTTCAAAATTTCCTGTATTTTTGGTGAAATATTGCAGCAGTGAAGACAAGTAATCTTAGCAGCAGAGATTACTCTGGTTACAGAAATTTCCAGTATTGTAGACAACTGGCCATAGTGTTGATCGGACATTTTCTTTAGAAAATAAACCTCTAGATTCTAAAACGATGTAGTTTTATTTTTTCTAATTAATTTAGTGTAGTACCACATGAGATTTGATGGGGTTTTTTTTGGTTTTTTTTCCTTTTTTTCAGGAAACTTATGGAAGCATGCAGGGGAAAAACAAAATACCATTAATTTTGCTCTGACTTATATATCTCTTTTTCCTGGATCCTAATTTTTCAAATTTTACTTCACAGACTTACAGAGAAATATAGCCTTATTACTCATTACCTCCAATACATGCAGTTATCCTTCTTAGGCAGTATCTCAAGGGCAAACTGTAATTGACTGGGAGCAGGAGCATGCATGAGCACTGAAGTATGTCAGTGTCTGACTGGAGTACATTGGTATATAAGTAGATCCTATAAGACTCCAACGGTTGCCTGAAACCTCACAATAGGTTTTCTTATGAGTTATCTGCAATGACCTAAACATGTTATAATTTGAGTTACACTGGGAGAAAGCCTTTCTCAAAGTTGCACAGTGTTCTAATCCATATCCATGCACAGGACAGTAAACTGACTTTGCATTCTACTGCAATCGTTAGAGAAGAGCTGTCCCACAGATAAGCCATTGTGACAAATTTTTATTTCATCTTACAGGCACTAACATTTCATAACAGCTCCTAATTCTGATGCTTCAGACAAGTGTAAGATATTTTACTGATTGTGGAAAAAAAATTCTTTCTTTTGAATGGGAGAATGATGGAAGCAGCTTGATAGTCATTCCCTCTGGAATTAAATGAATAAGATCCTAGTTGTCTAATTTATCCAAGATCCATGGTGTCCATAGACCTGCAATAAAGATGAACTTGGGTTTAGGATTATAATTTTCATAAATTTACCTTAAGTTTCTAGATGGATAAAACCAAGGCTGGTCAATGTCTAGAAATTTCCCTTGGTTTAATGTCAAGTCATTAAATTATCTGTTGATTTCATGACAGCACACACATTAGCCTGAGATTAGCAAAAAGTGCATCTGCATTTTTTCCCTTTTATACTTTCTGATACATTTTATTCTTAGAGCAAAATTTATGTTATGCAAAAGTTACATTAAAAGAATTTTGCAGTAATCTACTGAAAATAACCAAAGTATATACATATATAAAAGCATAGTATGGTACTTTTATAAATGTATGTATTTTTTAATATGCTTTTTTCCAAGTACCATTTTCTCACTGCATGAAACATTGTCTTGGAATTTCAAATACAAGGCAAAAATGCATTTTAAACTCTAATTTGTCCATAACCATTGTCATTGAACAAAGACAAAGCTAGTTTTGAAGCATGCTCTATAATAACAAGATTGATAATAACACATGCTGAATGCATAAGTAAAATGCCAACGACTGGAAGATTAACGCTTTCTCTTGATTTCATGGAACACATTTCACAGCTGGTATTTCAGCAAAAGCACACTTTGTGCAAAAATGTGTTGCCAAGGAAAAAATTTCATTTTAAAAGCTTTTTTTTTTCCTTTATCAGTTTTTTGTTTCAGAGTACCAAAGGGCTGATGGAGAATATTTTGGTTTAAAGCATATAAAAAAGAAACTGATTCCTTTAATAGACTTAATCAACTAATCTTTTTCTTTCCTCAATAAACTGGCTTTTATTTTCTAAAAGCACATTGGGTGTAGAGGCATATTGGGTGTAGAAGTTGAAGAACATGGAAAAGTTAAACTTCTGTTGCTCATGCCTAGATTCATTAAAGTACAGCACATCCTTGACCTGGAAATCAATAGTCCCCCCTTCTTCCTCTTCCATCCTTCCTTCCATTGCTTTCCCTGATGCTCTCATTTCCAAGTGCTCTACAGTCCTGTAACTCTTATCTCCTATTTGCCCATAAAAGTAAATACAAATTATTCTTTGAATCTTTCCCAAGTTGATGTTACGTGATGCTTCAGAATGGTGGATAGGGTGAGGTTTAAGAAAGCTTTCACCCAAATTAACCTTTAGCCAGTGCTCCAATGTAGCAGCTCCAGCTTTCAGAGCACCAACTCTTGGCCCCATGGAGGCCAGGGTTAGAACTTTATTATTTTCTACAGGGTCAGTATTTAATCTTGAGTTTATGGCCAAATAGGAAATATACCAAAACCATTTTCCCTTACACATGCAGAGGATTTCTCAAGCTTTTTGGTAGAAAAATCAGTGTTTTTCTATGTACTCCTTCATATAGGATATGTTTTTTATTTCAAGAAATGTGAAAAATTATAGCTTCTGCGAGTATTTGCAGGCTGTTTTTTTCCTGGTTAAGGGACCTCTGTGAGCCAAGTGGCATATAAGCTCGAGAGGAGACATAAAAGTATTGGGAATTTTCAATATAGTTTTTCCCATTTCCTTTTATGGACCGTCATGAATAATTTTCTAGCAGATGTAAGGTACATTGTTGAACTTGAGAGGGACATTCAGTGCTTCACTGCAGCAGTTGTGACCAGAGGATCTTTTGTGCAGCTTCCAAAAAATCATTTATTCACAAATTGACCAGAAAAGTGAGTAACTGACAAACCAAAGAGCATATTAGAAAGATGCTCTTGTTGACAGTGTCAGTTTTATTCTTTTTGGCTTATGCAATGTTGGAGGGTCTCTTGGGCAGCACAGTATCAGTGACATTCAAGGTACTAGTTTGGAGGCAATTGCTTTAAAAAACTCAGCCTCTAGGAATTCCTGAAGATATATTCAGGAAATGGATCAACTGATATTCGTCAATGGAACAAAAAGCAGAAATAAACTCCAAAACCACTCTGTGATGCATAAAACACTGACCAAGAATATAACACCAAGAATAACCAAGAATATAATGGTTTGGATTATTACCTCTGATAATTCAAGCTATACTTCATGTTTATGACCCTCAACTTTCTAAAGCTTTCATAAAAAATACTGAATAAACTCTACAAGCATATTAGCTTACTATTGTTATTGCAATGTCTCTAAAATGCAACGTACTCTTGTTTCTATTACACTTTTAGATCAGAAAAAGTGAAAAAATTTCACTTTTTTTTTTTTATTTTCAGCACCCAGTCTTGTAAGAGATAAACTACTACAGACTCCCAATCTTTAGATATATATTAATATATTACAGTTAATAACTATACTGATAAAAATGGTGTCCATGAAGGTAAGGCCTGAATATTAGCTCTATTGTGCAGAGAGAGGTCATTCTGAGTTCTCAATAGCCCCTTTCACTGCACCTTAATCCCCACTTAATCCCCTGGCTATTATGGGCCCACAGTTTTCACACATTGCTTTGCCAGCATACATCAATCCTGGTCTGTGAAGTATCCCCTGTTATTCCTGTTCCACATCTTTCTTTAGGAGAAAAATATATGTCATTCTTAATGGTACAGTGAAATCTGTAATATGGATAAACTGCACACAGGGGGTCAGATTGAAGCTATTAAAATTATTTTCACTATGGGTCCTGATGCAGAATTGGAACACTAATCTCCAGAGATAAAGGGTATCTAGCTGATTTACCACTTTAGTCCCCATTTTTATCTTTGATGTTATTATTTGTTTGCTCTGTAACTTTCATCTATATTCTAGACCCTTGGGCATTCAGAAGATCTTGGAAACATAACTGTATCAAACGTGCTGTGTCTGACTGATAGCTCTGAAGTGTTCAGAGCATACCTTCATTATCCAAAATGGAATTAGCTGACTTTTTGTAGCTCAGATTATATTGATATGAAATAGGCTATTATACAGTAGGAATACAGCATTTTAAAAACTTGTGGAAGGGACACAATGCTTACTAGTTTTGTATTGATTTCTCCAAGCAGGAATTTTGATTAAAACCTAATTTCAAGCTGGGTTAAGTTTCTCTAAGATTGAATGAAACTTTCTATTAGTTCAATTGCTACACACCAAAGAGCAAGATAGCATTCAAAGAATAGCAGCTTTTTCAGAGGGATTTCTAGATCACTGAGATTCTCTTAAGAACAGTTTCTAGGATTTACAACATGCATTCCAAAAAACCTCAAAGCTTGATGTATCACTTTAAAATTATTGCTTTCCTCCTTATAGTTAGTAACATTGATTTTCATTTCTTCTTGTCAGTGGAATAGTTGGAAGAATACAGATATTGCACACTTTTCTTTGCATGCCTGTATAGTTTCTTCTACATAGAAATAAAGAGATTTTAAACATTTGGAATATCTAAATTAGAGAGGCAATTAAAAGAAAAAAAAGTGTCATTTTTCTTATGGTTGAAGTCTGGCAATGAATTCAATGACTTCACTATATCCTAAAGGGATACTGAGTGTGAAGAACAACACTTCTGGAGACAGGTATTGAAGCGTTGCATAAATCATGGTCTCCTGGAACAGTGGATGTAAACTCTTTTGATGGTTCACTGAAAAATCTTTCAGTGGCCATTAGGTATAAGAAATGCTGTTTTCCTCCCTTTCTATTTGTCTTGGATGAAGCATGTAATGACTAAGACATTGATTAGTGATTTGGGAGACCTTGCAAGAGGAAGAAAAAAGGAGAAAAGGTATAGCAAAGGAACTGCAGTTTCTGACAAACACCTCAAGAGAGAAGCTATGATTCATTTGTCATTGTCATTTTTCCATCACTTATTTTCAGATATCTGCCATAGCATGATCTTATTGTCAACAAATATCAGTACATAAAGTATTGCATGTGGTTATGGGCACAAACCCCTGTAATGACTAGAAGACTTGCTTTTGGTACAGAAATGTTTAGGATAAATTCTAAAATTTTGTTCCTCTAATTGTATCACAGAAGATCCACTGAATGTAAAATATTTCTCAATAAGTGTCTTTATCAATTTATTCTTCCGAGGCATAGGTCTCATACCCAGAGTTCTGATTGCTACTCTAAACAAGGCTACTGCTAGTCAGAACATGCCAATCTTTTATCAATTTTAATTCCACAGCATTTTAATTCCACAGGTTGCGATATGTCACAGCTCTTTCTGAGTCTTTGGGTGACCTAGTGCTTCATCTACAGAAAGATAATTATATGCATCTAAATCCTACATACAAAAATGCTTATGCTTTTAACTGTGCTTAAGATCTTTTTGTTCCCTACAGTTTCCTCCAGAGGGGAAGTGGAGAGGGAGCTGTAAATTACCTCTCTGGGATCCAATGCTGAGACATATGGGAATGGTTCAAAGTGTCACCAGCTGAAATTCCAACTGGACATACCTTTACCAAGAGGGTAGTCAAACTCTGCAACAGGATTCCTGGAGATGTGACAAGCCTGTCAGCGTTTAAGACACACGTGGGTGATGTCCTTAACAGCATTTTTAACTTTTGGTCAGCCCTCAATTAGTCAGGCAGTTTGATTAGGTGATGGTTACAAATTCCTTTCAACTGAAATAGTGTAGTCTAGTCTATTCTAGTCTAATTTAGTCTTTTCTATGGATCTCCTGGAAGTGTTCATAATTAATCCATATTTCTTTAAGTATTAAAAACATGTTAATGTGAATGAAATTCTTTATGTATATTATTGACTGAAGTCCTCTAGTTAACTTATATACATAAAAGTTACAGACTCAAGAAGAATCAAAGTAAGTTTTTTTATACCACCTGTCAGACAACTCATTCCTTCTTTCCTAGGAATATCAGATGCATCTTCAGCTGGAGAATGGCTAGGTTTTTTTGAAGAAAACTTAATGGATGAAAGGGGAACAAGGGAAATAAAAATACTTGAAAAACCCAAGTCAGATAACCTACAAATATCCCCAGGTAATAAAAACATCAGAAAAGCTTCACCCCACAACAAGCCAAGAAACCAAACATCAATTTATAAAAATCACTGTGATGGAGGAAAGGTATTGAGCGAGTTAACTGTGAAGCTGTTAGCACTGCTCCTTGTGCTATTTCAAGTCTACTTTCTGTACAATTGTTGCTACTGAACTGATCCATGGGAAAAGTGAAATCTAAAACTGCAGAATCTAGTCGGATTGCCTCTCCACTCGGTCTGCAGTTCTATGTTGATACTCTTTGACACAGACCCTTGTGCAGTTTACTGTGGTGAGAGGAAAGCAGCATTACTCTGAGGACCTGGAAATTTTAGGAAGGACAGAAATTAATATATTTAAGATACTAATTAGGAGCTGTTTATAGTCACAAAAGAATAGTGAGAACAAAGCCCTCCCCCAAGCCATCTGTAGGCAATGTAATGTGACATTATGAATTACATGTATAAGACATTATGAAATAATTACCTGCTTTTATGACAATTGAATTCACTGTCCTTGGAGGTCCTTGTGAATCTTTATTTGGTGTCTGTCTGATCACAACAGTGGGAAGGGTGCTTCTGCCTTCTGCCCTTGTCTGAGACTGAAACTCAATTTATCTTTATTGCACAATCATCTAACATTTGAATTTTTTTGGTTTTTTTACTTGCCCTTTTTTAACATTTGTGATTTAAAAAATGTTTTATAGCAATTACATGTTTTTTCACACAAGATTTTCATGTTTTTTATCACATCAAAATAAAATTTAATTTTATTTGAGTCAAATCTAAACTCATAGAACAAGGAGATTCAGAGTCAGACACAAGATATTTCTTCATCCCTGTTTAACACAGGATATTATGATAATAGGTGGGCACTTAGCAAACCTAGAAATTTTGTTGTGCAACTGTGCATTTTAATGAAGTTAGAGACACAAAAGTAGCGCACTGTAAAGAAGGGACAGAAGGGTTTCCCATAATAACTTTGCTATGTCATGTTGGTAGCACGGTAGCAGCTAAATAAATATGGATGCTTAATGGAGTATACTGCTCGAGCATTGTATATCAAATTAATGGCCCTGTTCATAACTTGCATTAAATTTTCCATCATCTTGTCTTAAGACTGGAGGCGATTTTTTTAAGTTGCTATGAGGTGTTCTTTTTTTTTCACCTTCCTCTCTCTGTACCAAGATTAAGCACGATATTCTGAGATGGCATAAATTGTATCACTCTTCTGAAGGCAATGAAGCAATTCAAATTTACACTAACTGAAGATTTGTCCAATTAAAATTAAGATCCTGATCTCTAAAGGGATGTAGGTACACAGTTTCTCTGTCTGCAGCTAGATTTGGGAGTGTGAGAACATTTTAGGATTTAGGTAAAGGTGACTTATTTGTACAGCTCATTTCTGTAATTGAAAAATTTTATTTCCTTGTTAAGGGAAGCAATTCCTCTTGGATCATACACAGGTTGCCAGGCTGTGAAAGATAGGATACACGTAATTATAAATAAGCCACTTTTGTACACTGACAGTAAAAAGGAAAAGAAAGCAAAACCAAAAAGTGACTAGCCAAAAAAATCATATAATGAACACCACAAACAAAACAAAACAAAATAAACTACCACACAAAAATCCTCAGTTTTAAATTCAAGAATAGTGTCTATTCATGTGCAGTATTCACATTATGTATCAACTGAAATAGCCATGCCTAGGACAAATACAATTTAATAATTCATTATATCATACTATGATATTACTATGCAATGTTCTGCATAGTTCCCAAGTGCAAGGTTCTAGGCCTTAGCACTGGAAACACAATGTACTGTCAATGATTGACTCTATTCCTGAAATAACAAAAAAAGTGTACGAGAGCAGTTGTGGACCCTTACTTGACTTCATATAGTTTCTCCTTTCACAGAACTTTACTAAATAATCAAAATGGGTTTATAAGCCCTGAATGATGACATGAAATCCCAGAGTCATTTGTCTGCAATCAAACAATGTGACCTTTACATAAACTTGAAGTCCTGACAGTCACAATGACTGCAGATCAGGGCATCACTGTGCTCTAGTAGCAGATGTTTGCAATTGTCCTTGTTCCACCACGTCTCTAACGACACACAATTGTCTTGAGGGAAAAACGAAAAGCCAACTTAATTTAAGGATCGAAAAAGTGTTTGTTTGAGCAAATTAAAAGAAGATAGACAAAGCAGACAGTATGAGATCTCTAAATAAGGCAAATCTTTAGGGATGAATTAGTTTGACTATATCGTTCATTAGGCTTACAGAAAAATAGAGCTGCCAAAAGTATATAACAATATGAATGAGTATATCTCTTCATGTTTTGCTGTTTCATCTCAATCAATATTAAGTTAATATTAACTCAACATATATCTAGCTGTTCCTAAATGTATTTCAGATTCACTTCCCTGCAATGAAAGATGCTTTCATTTTCTGCTTCACGTAGCACAAAGGGATGCATTTGCATCATACCTTCCTCATTTCACCTCACCTTCCAACACTGTTATTATTTTGGAGACATCCTGTTTCCAGTGATTTACAAGTCTATAATTGTGTTCACGGGCCAGAAGGAAAAAAACATACATCAAGTTAACAGCAATTTTGTTACTGACTTTTAAGAAATTAAAGAATTGAGGGCAAAAGGCAAAAGAAAACTTTCTTAAAATATTTTCATTAGTATATTTTTCACTTGAACATTTTTGAAAGGTTGTTTCATCAGGAGTTTATTTGCTGTATGGTGTAGTAAAACATCTCATATAGAGTTACATTTTGAAATAATTTTATATAGTGCTTTTAGAGTTGTATTTCATTTCCCCCCTTTCCTCCATACTTCCCTCTACTCTCTGTTATATTACGACTGTTTGGGAGGTAGATTAATGACTTAATGCATCCTCGTATTTTGATCTCTTGTCAAGGTGTAACCCAGCATTTGTTGGTATCAATGTTAAAAAAAAAAAAAGGACTTTTTAAACACAGATGTTTCTTTTTTACAAAGTCTTAGAACTACAGAAGAAACAATGTCAACTAACAAAAGAGAACATTGAAAACAATCTATTTTTCAAACCTCACAAATCCAAGAGCCCTCTCTACCTTCTCTTCACTGTAGAACATAAACCTGCAAAGTAGCAAATGCTGTAAATTGCACACAGCAGCATTTCAACTATTTGGCTTTCTGAGGACTGGAAATTCTACATGAATCTTTCCAGTACTAAGAAATATTTCCTTCTGCAATTTATTGGATGGGAATTTTCTGTCAATTTTTTTTTTTTTTTTAATAAGAAATATTTCCTTCTGCAATTTATTGGATGGGAATTTTCTGTCAATTTTTTTTTTTTTTAATACTAAAAAGTCAAACTAATGTTTAAGGAAGAAAAGGTTTTAAGATTTTCAAATCCAAAAACTGTTGGCACACTTTCTGAGCTTGTACCTCAAATACGAAATGTCCTTCTATCAAGTGGTCTAAAGAACTCCTTCCTACCCCACCTCCAAGAAGTTAATATGCTTAACAGTGTGCATGTACACACACACAGACACACTCACAAATCTATAATGTCTCAATTATCATTCTTTACATCTCTTTCAGATGTTGTATTCCAGGTAGAAAAGGCTATGAAACAGCAGCCTAGTATCTGGCTAGGCCAATCCAGACACTGATTTAGCATCAGGCCACCAAGCAAAAGCATCATCTCCTTTGTTTCACTTCCACATCTCTACAATAACTAAATCACTCCTTCAAAAACTGTTTGATACTAAATACATTTAATGCATGAGAGTAAAAAAGTTGAATAACTTAACGCACCCCAGAAAAGAATGTTGGCATTGGAATAGCCACCTAAAACAGAAACTGACAGAAAATGCCAGTTACACTAGGGAGTGGACTTCACTGTCTGCTACAGGGAAAGTCTATCAAGTCACTGCCATTCTAACCCGGGAAAGGGAAACTGGTGAGATGGGGCTGTTTCCTACCTGTAAATCTGGAAATGGGTCTGACTCTGACATATTATTGGCTTAACAAAAGTAGATTTAACCATAGTATAACATAATACGCAAATCACACTAATCAGCCCAGCTAAAATTTTTCATTACTAGTGGATTCACAGAAGTTTCTTACCTATGGGCTGACTGGGATCCTTGAAACACTTACAGCACAGTGTTTAAGACTCAGGGTAAACATTTCTTGCACTTTTGCTCATTTACAAAAACAGCCTTCTCCAACAATAAGTCATCAAGGATATCAGTTTTCTTCTTTCAGTGGCAAAGCAGAGTCCATCTTCCAGTAACACTTAATTCAATACATTGATAAAGTTGATCCAATATATTTGATTTTTTTACCTGTGCCAAACTTGAGCAGATCATTTATAAAGCAAGCCTATGGTTATAAGAAAGGACACCACATTCTCCTTTGTCTTTACCCTGTCTGAACATTTGGGTGTTGTACTGATTTCATGAATAGCCCAGCATTCCCTCACAATGTGCATTGTGTGTGTTAAGGTATTAAACCACTGCAATGCATAAATATGACTGAACATGTGAGTTGACTCTTTGACAACATGCTAGGCAGGTCTGGTCAGAGGATAAAGTTTGCTATGATGTTTACACCTCTAGTTTACTACCAGACTTATCAATAAGAAGGCTCCGTAGCTGCATGGAATGCTATTGTTCTTTATGGGTATTTAACTTTCTTGTTTAAGGGCAAGAAATTACTCAAAATCCATATTCTTATCAGACTGATCTAATCTCAACAGTTTAGACTTGTGGATACTGATATGGAAAAAGGAAAATAAATCCTCTTTTGGCTCAAGGTGCTCATCTGCCATCTGGAACAGCTTCACCAGTTTCATCCATTATGCAAATGAGATGTAGTATTCGTTATGTTTCATCTACTGATACTAATACATTAATGTAGATTTTACAGCTTAAACCCCTGAGAAAGAATTGGCTTCACATCACTCACTGACTTAAGATCACATCCCATTACTTTTACTAGCCCTGTGGCATTTAAGGTCACTTGATTTTTAATAAAGCAGACTTCTGTGATGTCAGTAAAATGGTAGCTGCCCCTTTCATTTCCTTATCTTTCCTTTTCTCTTCCCAAGAGATTATAGTATTTCAGACTATTGCATAACTTATTTGTTCTACAAAACTAGTTTCTTCATTTACCTTTTTACTGTTTCATAATAAAATAGCTGAATTTTTTTTTTTCTCTATCCTTAGGATAAAAAAGGGGGTGAAAGTGTCAGGGAAATTGTTAACAGAATTAGTAAAGAGATACAGACTGGAGCTGAAAACCAGTTCTATTCAATGTTTCATTTGTCTTTGATTTTTGATATGTTAAATGAGACAAATTCAATCTGGTAATGTGATACCTGTGTAAACAGCCTTAGTCACTCAAGTGAGTAAGTTGAAATCAATGTGTAAATAAGCATTATAGCTGTGTCCTTGAAAGACAAAGTTTGAAAATGTTGCCAACGCAGTCAGTCATATTTTTAGCTCTGCAATACCATCCAGGATTGAGCCCTGACAG